TCCCAGCTACCAGGGAGGCTGAGGCACGAGAATCGCTTGAACCTGGGAGATGGAGGTTGCAGTGAGCGGAGATCACGCCACTGCACTCCAGCCTGGGCAACAGAGGGAGACTCTGTCTCAAAAACAAAAATCAAATCAAATATTTTAAGTTTGGTCCTTTTCTCCTTTCTTTCAAGAAAGGCTTTTTGGATACCTAGAATACCTTCATGTATGTGGCTTGATTTCAGTTTCAGGAGAAGTGGGGGCAGGAGGAGAGACTACACCTGTTTTCCAGAGTCTGTCCTGAGATGTCACTGAGTCCAGACACTTGAGCTGCATGTGCCCTGCAGATGACAAAGGCTGGCAGCTCAGCACACGTGCGGGAGGGGTTAAAGCCAATACTGAGTTTTTGTTGTTGTTTTAATCTGAACAATTATTCTCCTGTAAAAATAATTTGGGAGGGGCGGGTGTTGTTCGGTGTGTGTGTGTGTGTGTGTGTGTGTATGTGAGTGTGTTATCTTTTTTTTTTTCTTACAGTGGCTGCCTGTCTAAAGTATTTTTCACAACATGTTTGATAATCAGTGCTTTAAAAAGCAGTGGTATCCTATAAAGTGGAAATGTCAGTTCTAGAGCATTGGATGTGAACTTCCGGTCGTGTCACCTTGCGTGTCCCGCCCTGGAGGAGTGAAGGTGGGCGCCCCGGTGGGGGTGTGGCTGCACCCCAGCACCGGGAGGGGGCACGCATGACACCAGAGGAAGGAACAGCCCCACCCATGTCAACAGCAGGCGGCCTGTGTTTTCATTTCAAATGGGATACAGTATTTTTTTAATAAGGAGCCATACTTTTTTTTAAGAGTTTGAGATCTGAATGTGATTTCTAATTGTATCAGACGTTAATGTTTTAAAGCTATAACAAAGTTTAAAATTTCTACTTTTTGTTTTTCATTTATTTTAACTGTTCTTTTATCTATTAAATTGTTGTATGTGGATGGGGAAGTTTTGTTTCTCCTCTTAGCATTTGTTTCTATAACCAGAAATAAAATTCTATATTAAAGAAATGATCCTGAGGCTCCGGCATGGTCCTTGTACACAGGTGGCTGCTGAAGGCGGTGGACGGACAGACGGCCTGGACACACAGGCTCCTGGCCCCTTGGACACACGGGCTCCGGACGCCCTGGACACATGGGCACCTGGTTCCCTGCTCCGGAGGCTGAAGGGCAGCTGCTGCTAAGGGAAGTTGCCCATAGGTCCTTGGTATCCTGTTCCTGGCTCACACAGGAGATGCTTCTGCAGGTGCCTGTGGCTCCTGGACTCGGTGACCACCCACCGAGAGTGTTCTCAGCGAGGAGGTTTGCAGCTCCAGGAATGTGAAGACAACGTGTGTCTCCCCTCAGACATGGCAAAGGCAGAAACCAGCTGAGCCAACCCCCTGCTCCTGGCACATGCCCAAAGCCTGGCTGGGGGGCACTTGCAGGTACTTGTCACTGCCCCAGTGGCTCCTGGGCAACTGTGGGTCCCTCCTGCTGGCCCTTGGCTAGATGAGAATTTCTACCCGTGTACAAGATGGGTAGAAATGTATATGGGAAGAAGTTATCCCAGGCCTTGCTTATTGTAGGTGTGGGGCCCGGGGCGTGGGGATGGCATTGACTTGGGAACTACACAGACCTGGGTTCAAGTTCCTACTGTGTCCTCACCAACTGTGGGACTTCAGCCTGCAATGCGCTGCACGTCTTCATGTGCCGCACAGGCACCCCCACCCCACAGGCCTGGCGCCCTGAAGCTCAGCTGCGATACAATCAGCCTCTATTTCTTCTGAGAGTTCCCCAAGACTTATGAGACCCTTGGGTGTGTCTGTGTGACGACTTCCGACGGGAGACTTAACAGCGGTGCGTGCTTGTCACACGTCTATCTTCTGTCGAGGTTCTGTAGTGTTTGCGTGTGACTCACTCAGCTGAATAACTTGCATTTTTGCGATTGTACAGTTGCCCGCAGTTGCAGCTAAAGTTTGACTGCTTCTCTGTCTTCCTTCCAGTTACTCCATTTCCACTGTAAGAATCTAATATAACTTTAACAGATTAGTTCTAGTTTAGGATGTCAGCCCAGGCTGGGCGCATTGGCTCACACCTGTAATCCCAGCACTTTGGGAGGCCAAGGCAGGTGGATCATTTGAAGTCAGCAGTTCAAGACCAGCCTGGACAACATGGTAAAACCCCGTCTCTACTAAAAAAAAAAATATAAAAAATTAACCAGGCATGGTGGCATGCACCTGTAATCCCAGTTACCCGGGAGGCTGAGGCAGGAGAATCGCTTGAACCCAGGAGGTGGAGGTTGCAGTGAGCTGAGATCACGCCACTGCACTCCAGCGTGGGGGACAGAGCTAGACTCAGTCTCAAAAAAAAAAAAAAAAAAAAAAAAAACACACAAAAAAACTATCAGCCCAACAGCAGGCATGAGTGAGAGGCGTAACCTTCCTCCAGGGAGCTGCACTGGCTAATTATTAATTGCATCGTTTTTAAGGTGTTGTAGTTGTGTTTGTTTGTTTGCTTGCTTGTTTAGAGACAGGGTCTTGCTATGTTGCCCAGGCTGGTCTTGAACTGGGCTCAAGCGATCCTCCTGCCTCGACCTCCCAGTGTTTGGATTACAGGCATGAGCCACCATATCTGGCCTTTTTTGCTTTTGATTAGGACAACCATTTTTCACTAGTGAGACCTTAAAATGACATTGGACACTAATGTAAATATTTTGTAAGAAACAAGTCAAATATTACCCGTGGTAAAATTGCCTGGGTTGTGTCTGTGTGGAGAGAGAGAGAGAGACAGAGATTGAGATTCCCGGCACATAGTTAGAATCTCAGTTAAACTTAGCTGCCCTATGAACCTGGGTATCTACACAACAAAGAGGGGTGCATCTCTCAGAACCCCAGAAGACATACAATTATGCACTGCAGCTCTATTCATTATTGTCAAAATCTGGAAACCAACCAAATATTAATGGATGAACAAGAAAAGCTAAGTACGGTATGATTCCATTTGCATGAAGTATAAAAAGAGGCAAAACTAATCTCTGGTGAGAAGAGACTAGCAGTTACTTCTGGGGGAGGAGAGTGTGCGTTGACTGGGAGGGGGCCACAGGGGGACCTCTGGGGAGCTGGAAATGGTCTAGATCTTGAATTCAAGCCATGGCAAGAGTATTTACACCACAGAAATTATGAAACACAAATCACCCCCCGACTCCCCACCACCGCCCATGGAGCCGAGGCTTAAGACATTTGCCAATTTACCACTGGTTTCTAGAAATGTAAAAAATCGAGTTCATTTAAGGTTTGTGCGCTTTGGTGTGGACGTTTTACCCTAGTAAACGTTAAACACTGGCAGTAGGCTTTCCATAGACTACCTGTCACCAGTTTTCCTTTGCCAATCTTCAACCTGCAGCTCCAGGGGCACCCGCCGCACTCCACCGACTCCCATCCACTGCTCACCATCCACCAACTCCCATCTCTTCATCCTCTGCACCAGGTGCTCTCAGACATCACTGGGTGCCCTAAGGTATCTCAAAGTCATAGGTGGAGCTCCTGCAGGAAGCCCTCCCTCCCTCCTCCTTCCTTCCATCGAGGTGTCTTCTCGGGGCTTATCCCTTCAAGGTCTAACCTTGACGCACCCTATCTACGGAACACTGATTCCCACCCCCTACCCTATTCCCCAGAACCTTCAGCAGTACCTAGGACAGATAGGACTCAATCATCGCTTGTCCACTGAATGACTGACTTGGCACAAATTTCCTCGTCCTTTTCTGCCCCAGACAGACACCCCACAAACATGAAGTTATCCTTGATTTTTTCCATTTTCTTCCTCCTTCCTGCAAATTCCTCAATCACAGGTCTTACAAATCCTACCTCTAAATGGTTACTGAATCTGCCTACTTTCGGGGCAACCTCCCTTCCCTGGACCACAACTGCACCAGCCTCCTTTCTCCCTCCGGAGCTTCCCAATCCATTCTCTCCCCTGTGGCCAGAGGTCAGTTCATTTAAGCCACAGGAAGCCGATCACTGTCCTAGGCCCGCCCCTCCCCACCCCTTGGTCTGGACACCCTCTGGGCTCATCTTAGGCCACAGTCCCCGAAGCCTTCCTCCTCCGGTTGGACCCCCGCCCAGGTCAGGCTGTGACAGCGTTTATCATGACGCTGGCGTGTTGCCCTGTGTCCCCCTGCCGTCTGCAGGGTGACAAACATCGCCAGGGCGCAGCACATCCTGGGCATCCAACACGTCTGTTAGAATGAACAGAAACTTCCCCTCTCTGAGCCTGTGGCCTCATCTGTAAAATAAAGTTCGCGAGATCCCATGAATATCGTGGGGATTGAATAAGGGATTTTTTGTTTTGTTTTGTTTTGTTTTGTTTTAAGCAGCAGGAAGAGCGGCGGGATGGGTGCTCAATAAACAGCTCAAAAAATCCCCAAAACTGCCCAGAGCCGCGGCTATTCCTTGCAAACTGCCGTTCGCTGCTGGGCTCAGCCCAGAAGTGGCGGAGTTTGTGTCAGATTTTCAGGTCGTAGTTAGCATAGGGACTCCCGCACCACAGAGCTGTTTACGAAACAGAAACCAGAACTGGGGCAGTGACACTTCAGGGCCAGCGATACCCTCTCCCAAGGCCCCAGGAGCCCAATATCCGCCGGAATGGTTTCCGGGGTCGAAGGGCGCCGGCGCTGCAGAGTACCGAGGTTCCAGGGTCGCGGAACTCCGCAGCTCGCAGGCGCCGACCCGGACCCCCAGCCAGGGCACCTACGCCCCGCCCCAGGGGCTCCACGCCAAAGCCCATTGGTCGGCAACCTGTCCCTCCTGTCCATGTGATGCGGCACGTGACGCAGCCACGTAAGGCCGCTGCGCTCACGTGATGCGGTCCCGGAAGTTGACCGGCCTGCGGTGCTGCTGCGCTGCAGCTCGTGGAGTTTCTGCGGTTCGTGCGCGCCTGGTGGCGGTGGTGGCGGTGGTGGCGGTGGTGGCGGTGGTGGCGGTGGCGGCGGCGGCAGCGGCGCGATGTTCTCGGCAGGAGCGGAGAGTTTGCTCCACCAGGCCAGGTGCGGGGCAGCTGCGGCCCCGGTCCTACTTCCCGCACCTCTCCCTAGGGGCACAGGGGGGTGGGTCTCACAGGGCAGGGGGGCCCGGTCGCCCGCCTTGCAGGAACCCGACTGGACCCGCCCTCGAGACTTGGGGATCGGAGGCAACACGGCGGCCAGGCGTGGGGTGAGGAGGTCGGGGAGGGTCATGGTGGGTCTCCGGAGGAGGTGACACCTGAGCAGAGTCTTGGTGAGCGAAACCAAGTGGGGTGGAACCCGGTCGACAGTTTAGTCAAAGGCTTGGC